TGTATGTATGGTGCCGATTGTTCCTCCCCAGGTGCATCACCTTACACTTGTCTGTGTTAAACCCCACAACAAACTACCTCCACTGGTGAACCAACCCTTTCCCAGTCCTGCCTACCCCTCTCCCCCGATTTACTTCTGTTGGCTCCTGGCACTAAAGACTGCTGGTAAAACTGGCACTGGGAGTGGCTTGCAGGATTGGGGGGGTTGGCAGGCTCAGTGGGGTGTGGCTGGCTGGACTGCGATGGGTTGCTTGTCCATCTAGGAGTGGGGGGATGGACGAGGGGGCCAAAAATAGCCCAGTGTCAGGGGTGATGTGGGAAAGGCACAGGCCCAGAGCTGGGGCCAGCAGCTGAACTTTTCTAGCCCTGGTGCTGCACTCCGACCATGTACAGAAGTTCAGTTATATCAATCTATATGCACCCAATCTAACTTCATGCACCTCTGATGTACAGTTAAATTAGATCGGGTCAGCCATTTTTTTTGACTGATTTAACCTTCCTGGAACTTCTGTACGGTTCACACTTAGATTGACCTAATTAGGGATCTACGTGTAAGGGCCACATCTGGGGAACTAAGTTAGACTGGATGGCAAATTTTAATGTCATCCAACCTCCTCCTAACCTCCCTGAATGTCTGTACAAACCCGTGGTGTGGAAGGGCAGTCTGCCATCAGACTAGCTCGGTAGCTACCCACCATTTCTCAGAGACATTCTCAGAAGAGAATGGGAAGTGAGTCTGGGAACCAGTCATAGGCTGTGAAGAAAGAGAAAGACCCCCAGTTCCCTTTGCAGGGTCTAGATCTTTCTGGAACAGGGGTTTGAGGAAAAGAGATAGAGAGCCATGGGAGGACAATTAGGCTAAGGAAGCAGCATTGGATAATTGAAGCATGTGTTCAGTTTTCCTGGGATTAATGAAAATACTTATAGTGAGGATGCATTTACCCCTGTCTAATATTTCAAAAGTGACCCGTGCCTGAGGTGTCATGAAGGCATACATGTGTGTGACATTCTGTTGTGCTGGCTTCCGAAAATGCCATGGCTGGTTCTTAAAATGGGCTGATTTGGAATTGCTCTCTTGGGAAAGTTAGTAATTCTTTTATCTAAAATACATCACAGAAAATTCATGTGACCTATAAATAGCAACTGTGGTGAATTTGGTGATTAAATTTAATAAGTGTACTGTGAAATGGAGCAATTGTAATCTTGGTGTAAGGGGCCTGATCCAAAACCTGTAGAAGCTAGCATGGATCTTTCCACTGATTTTATTGTTTTTTGGATTGGGCCCTAGATAAAATGCTTCACAGCTTAGTTGCAGAGTCACTACTTCATAATAAACCTATATAATAATTTGCTGAGCTATCATAGGTATGTATGCAAGCACACATGCACACATTCAGGAAAGCTATAGAACACGAACCAATCATTGGGTTAGGGTTGAATTCACATAACATTTGAGTTTGTAATGACTCTTCAGCTTGGTTTTGAGGTTTTGGTTGTTTCTGACTGACTGTGCTATTTCCTCCCATATTTATTATTTTTTGACATTATTTTGTTGTAGAAAGCAAATGCTCTTTGTTCATTTTGAAACCTACACATAATACTTTGTTAAGACTCTGCAATGATTATTAATATTTAATATTGTTAAACAATATTTTCCAGTTTACCTTTAACAGTCCCTGTAGAGCCATTGCAACATCCATTAATGGAAAAGATCTATTACAGCACTGATGCTAATATCTAACAAGAATGACTGTGCATTCATATGAACATATTTTCAAAAATTAATAACTTAATTATTGCACTTAACTTATTGTTAAATACTGAAAAGACCTACTAATATTCATCTATACCTGGATGATCTGCAAAGGTTCATTTTGAAATATATAATCATTCTCTTTATTCAAATTTCTTCTGAACATGCATTTATTTCACTTTGAACCTGTCAGCCTTAATTGACCAATGCAAGAAATGCTATTAGGAACCTAAAACAAAATGTTGGTAGCATAAAAGTATTTGAAGTGGAAAACCAAAGCCACAAGTTGTGTGTCATAATGAACAAATACCAGTTAAAATCTTATGTCACAACACAATATCAGAGATTGTTTGCAACATGTATTTTAGAAAGTTTTGATATTATATGAAGCCAGATGGCTTTGCTTCAACTGTACAACTCTCAGGGAGAACAATGTTAGTTACTAACTTCTCTTAAAAAAGCAAAACAAAAGCAAATAACATATTTTTAAAGTGGTCTATAACAGGGTTTGCTAATTGAGTGCATCATTAAGGTATGATATCACACAATACAGTAGGATAAATACATGAGAAGTTGGCAGCTTCTATCATTTTGGAGAAGAGTCTTAGTTCTTCATTTTATAAGGAACCCATTGTCAGCCACAAACTGATTCATCAGGCATCTGGCTAGACCTCTTATGTGTACACCATGATCCAGAGGTTTGATGGTTGCCTACTATGGATTCTCAAACCACTTTAAGCCAGCATTGAACATTATCGCTCTCTTATCTCAAAGCAAAGCAGGCTTAATTTAGGGGGAAGGAAAGAAGGAATATTTCTGGCAAGTCATAGTTGGAAAAAAGGGAATCTGTTTTCAAGCTGCTCAAAAAAATGACATTTTCTTTACTGGTAAGAAAAGATCTAACTGATTCACTAGTAAGTGAGTTTTCACCTATGCATGTGAATGCCACAAAGAGCTAAGCTGTCAATATTCCCTTTCAGTGCAATTCCAAAATATAATGATGAAAACAACACATCTATTTCCTAAAACGCTTATTTTCTGTCTCTCCAGGGAAGCAATCAGCCGTGTTTGTGAAGCAGTGCCTGGTGCCAAAGGAGCCTTCAAAAAACGAAAGGTAGTTTTCTTTCCTTCTTGTTAGGCTGGCTGTATTTCCATAGTGCAACCTAGATGGAACCAGATGCAGGAGCATTTAAATTAGCCCAAGAAAGACAGGTCCAGAATAATTCAAAGGCTTATTTGCGTTTAGCCACTGTTATGTATCTCTTTCTCTCCTTCTCAGCCATATCTCTCACAGAAAGTTATTGACATGAGTTCATTTAAGAAAATGTCATTGTTTGCTGTGTTTGCACCTGCACGGGGAAGGACTGAGTCACCTTCCTTTCCTACAGAGGTTTTCATGTCATGGGTGGTAGCACACATACATGGGAGTGGATGAAGTCTTGCTTTCATCCGTATACCACACCTGAGCTAGGACAAAGGGGGAAGTACTCTATACCATGTGTAGAGCTACCCCAGATATCATCCCACCTGGAGCAAGGAGAGAACTGAGAACCATATGGATATATCTACGCTGCTGTGACTGCTGGTCATGCAGACTGGCTGACTTGAATACTTTGTATAATTTAGGTTGAGGTGGTCTGGAGCTCAGCACAGGCTAACCACCTGAGCATTGAACAAGCTCCTTAGTGGGTTTTACAGTCTGTGATGATGAGCTTCAACAGCACAGCAGCCACATTGTTAGCATTACCCAAACTAGTCTAAAACTAGCCCAGGTATGCATACACAAGCTACAGTCACAAATGGGTGATGTTATGCTCCTTCCATGTCCGTGGGGTGTAGGTTGTAGCCGTGCTGGTCTAAGAACATAGGCAGACAAGGTTCTTTGCGTAAATCTGACATCTTTTATTAGACCAACTTAAATAGTTGGAAAACAATTATTAAGCAAGCTTTCAGGTTCAAAAACCCTTCGTCAGGCTAAGGAAGTTTCAGCAGTTGGCGTGTGCTCTTCCTGGATGGAATGAAAAGTAAAGAAGCCAGAGGCTGGGCTGGTATGCATCAAAGACAGG